AATGCATTCTTTCAGATATGTACATACATTTAACAGATTTATTTATGATAAAAATGTTACCTTTGTGGGGAAAATGGGACCCTCTTAATAGATGTTAAGAATATGCAAACCTATTTCAGGTGAAGTACTGTAATATAGATGAGGATAAGGATGTTGAAGTGCTTACTACAAGCAGCGGTCCTCCAGGGTCCCCGAGTTTTGAAGACTCGGGGGAACCGACTCTTAACTCTGTCGGGCTGTTCGGCAAATTGCCAGCCCCACTGCTCATATTCGTCCCGCAGGTTGGTGAAACATCAAAGGCAGCATACTTTTGTCTGAACCGTGAAAAAAAAGTTCATGAACATTATTTCTAGGTTCAGTTCATTTCCATATATTTGTAAAAGAATATTGTATAATTGTTGTAACATTGTGCATGGGCTTATTTTTGAGCAAGTGTACCTCTTCATTTAGTTCCAACCTCAGTTTGAGAGAGGCTGGTTGATTCATGGGAATTTTTTATCCAGCTGCATATGATGTTTCATCCACCCTCTCTTAATGTCAAAAGAACCTTTTATTTACATAGTATTAGCTCTATTTGTATTACAGAATCACCCATTTTCTTGTCTTTTGTTTTATTACTTGATCTGAGATGGTAAACACACCTTAAATTTTGATCAGAATGAAGTACAATCTGATTATGTAAGGGTATTCACAGATATCCCCAATAAAATTTAAGGGCAAGGGGATAGTGCCACTGATTGACAGTTTGGGCATCACCAGTTTTGATTGGTTAGGGGTTCTCACTGTTATTGTGATGTCTTAAACAGTCATTTCATTTTAGATGTCCCAGTTGTCCCATAGATCCAGCGTAACTGACCTAATCTGCTGATTTGTTTATTTGCTTTAGATTTTTTTTTAGTTCTGTACTATTATTACTATTTTTTTTTTTTTTTTTTTTTTTTTTTTTTTTTTTTTTTTTTTTTTTTATTGTTATTTTAGCTTTGTTGTTATGATAGTTTGATGATCAGATAGTCTTTTATGTCTTCTTTTTTTCTTAAGAGTTGTTTTGTATTTTTTTATTATTTCTATATTATGACTGTTATTCTTCTTGATGTGTCAGTGTCATGCTTTATCAATTTCTTTGTTAATTCACTCACACCAAATGACATCTAATCACATCATGGCAAACCAGACCTGAATGACGAGAACATACAATCATCATATGCACAGTCAAGCTTGCTTAACTGTGCAGTTATTTGTGAACTAAATAGTTATTCGTTTGATTTGTCCTAACATCTGTTATTGAAGAGATACGGAATATCAAAACGAAGGCTGAAGACTCTTTTCATCCTCAAAGATTATGTATGCCTCAGGCACATGGTTCAGAATTGCACATGAGAATGTCCCATCATGAGTGGGTTCATTAACAATATTCTATGTGCCATATATACTCAAGCTGCACATTCTAACTTAGAATGTGTGTAATAAAGATTTCTTTGCTAGGTTTTAATAGAGATAGGCCTTTTTCAATGAAATGTATGTTCTCTAATTTCCCTTTGAGTAAAATTTATTCTTTTTCTCTTTTATGCACTTATATTTGCTTCATAACATTCGCTCTTCATTTATAGTGAACTGAAAAGGAGACTGAAGGCCGAGAAGAAGGCACAGGAAAAGGCAGAAAAAGAAGCAAATAAGGCTGCAACTCAGCCTGACCAGGCTGCAAAACCTAAGAAGGTAAAGTAAAGCATCACTTGTTATTAAAGAAGTATGAGATTTTACAGAGTTTAAAGATTTTTTTGCTTTTAATGTAATATATCTTTAACCTCTCTTTGGCATTCTGGTCTATATGTATTGTTTATGTTGATGATATTCTAAATAAGTTGATGTTAGTTATGTGGGGCTTCCTTTTTGACTCGTCTGTAGATGACAGGAAGACTGGTAGAATTATTTGTAATATTGGATAAGCTAGTAAAAAGATGTTGAACAGCATGTGTGACCATAACAAGGTTTTGATTGATTTCCATTCAGCAGTCAAATTCATATGAAGGCAGACTAGTCACTGTGAAGTGAATGTTGATAATTGATCCCTGTAAAGTGATTGTAGGAGCAGGTGGAGCTAGTGTAGGAGCAGGTGGAGCTAGTATAGATGCTGTCTGTCTACTATTAGCTAAAGACAGTGAGGTATTTATGACGTGTGCTAGTACCATTTGCTGAAGATAAGTTTTTGCCATATGGTTCCTATTTATCACGGCTGCATTTTAAGATTTTCTTGCCAAGGGAAAGATATTAAAACGGTCACAATTTTTGTACGTACAAAATTTCTATAGTATTTATATTTTGTTTACATTCAAGAAATGCATGTACCTCGAAATTAATTCCGGTAAAGAAATGATTAAGAAAGTGATGCAAACATATTCATGTATTTGGAGGGCGTTATGCCATGTTGATTTTCTTTTTAATGAGGAAATAAAAGTATGTCTCCTTTTTTCCTTGCCTTGAATATTAAACCTTCCATATTCAT